AATACCCGGGTCTTTTAAATCAGATTTATGGGGAGGTATTATACTATAGGGGGTACTTTAGTCAACCGTTTACGGTACTTGTACCTGTAGATATAGGAGATCGAAACTTTTGGATGTTAAACGAACTCCTTAATTTTTTTATCCTATTAGGAATAACGATTTCTGGTTTTTCGTCATAAGCGAAATTTTGTTAAGAAATTTTTTATTAATAATACATACAAAAAAATAAATATAAAGGTCGAGAACTGAGCCTGTGATACATATTATTTTTGATATTTTTTTTGATTCTAGCCTTCTTGCTAGCTGGGGAACTATCAACACTAACCCGATCCTTTAATAACCCAACAATTATACCTATTACCCTTTTTACATTGCTTCGAAGTAATTCGGGATTATCTTTAACTGCGGACTTCATGAGATTAATTTGGTATTTGCTTCCACTCGTAGAGTATATACCATTTGGAGTATATATGATAAAATGCCACTCTGTACCTGTGGTCATAATACCATAGATATAGTTAAAATAGTCATTTCCAAAAGCTTGATCTGCAGTTCGTTTCTTTTTATTGGTCTGAAATGCACTTTTAAGTTGCGTCAGATTCTAAGAAATAAAATGCATTAATATTATTGAATCTTTTTCAGCTTAGCGTTCTAAAAACACGAATCAAGTATTAGACTTACCTGAGCATTTTCAATCTTAATATTGCGTGGTTTTCTCTCAGTGATATAAAATAGGTCTTCCAAACTTTTGATTGTGTAGTCTACTCAGCTAGTAGCATCTTCTCCTAAAACGTCTTTCTGCAAAACTATAAATATATCTTGAGTAGTGAGTTTTTTGGTGATGGCAATTGATGCGTGTAATATCGCTAAAATAAATTCACAGCACGTTGCCTCGTTAGTATCAGTCATAGTTTTCATATTCAAAAGTTTTAAGATAATATCCTCCATATAGTATTTGAATGCCTTATCATCATCACTAATCTCCTCGAAGACTACAGTGAACTCTTAATATAACGAATTCTAGGATCTGGATATCAACTTCGTTATAAGCTTATAACGAATTTTTTAAAGAATTTAATTAGCTAGTTCACTATAGTAAAGGTAATTTTAATATATTTGATTTAAAAATTCGCTATATCAAGGGTTCGCTATATTAAGGTTTGACTGTACAGAGAAAAAAATAAAGTTAATATAGTTATCTAGTCAGTTTTGAAAATTAATTAACTACCTACTGGGAGTAAACTGCTTGATGTTTATTATATCCTTTCCATTGACCTTATTTTTACGTAACATTTCCTTCAGGTCATCGAGAGTTTTAAGCGAGGAATAGTTTCTTATTTTTTGGTAAAGACCTTTGATAAATTTTGCAAGTGTTGTTGCCGGTCCTAATTCTAACCCAATACTGCGAAATTTTTCTTCTGTCAACTCAATGAAGGCAAGACTGGTGATTTATTTCTTACATAAAATTTTAAAGTGAGACTTCTTGAGCTTCAGGTCTTTCCTTCCCAAATAATCAATAAGCTCCTCTATATTAAAATCCTTAATCACGTCTGACATTGTTCTAGTGGAAATTTCTTCCATTATTGAGGTGGGTGAAGCAGGTGAAGAAGTTTGTAAAGACATGATTTTTATATAGGTATGTTTGTGCTTGCGAAAAAATTATTCAGTTATAGGTAAAGCTGGTTTATGAATATAAAAGTATTTTGGTTTCCAGAGTAAAACGCTCAGGTGGAAATGATAGATTTTTTTTTATATCGATTCATAATACTTTTACTCAATATATATGCAAGTAAGATGTAGTATAAAATTATCAGGTGATTATATTACATCATTACACGTGATATTTTTCAAGATTTATGATAAGAATGTAATATATATGCTTTATTTAAGAAATAAAAAAGCATTACCAGAGCAACTAATACATAAAAAATTACGAATAGATCACTATTACATGATGTAAATATAGATATAAAAATATAATTAATAAGGATGTGAATCCGCTTTTAAATGCGTCCTATCATTTATATATAAAAGTCGCTAAATTTATTTTTTGAAACCCTGTATTTTACAAAATAAAAAGATAAGAACAATATCACCTTCGCCTATTAATAACATCATAATTACTAACCTAGATCCTTAATATAATCCTTAAGTTCTAATGCTTGTCTTAATGTCATTTCGTATTCCTTAAATTTTCATCCAGTTAGTATGAGGAATGATTGACCGGTGATTTTTTCATTCTCAAGCTTCATAAAAAAGCCATCATTAAGACCTAAGTCTTTAAAATTTTTATTATTTTGCAAAAATTTGATAAGTCTATTTGTTTCCCATCTTTTTATAATATCAGCTAGAGAGGAGGTAGAACTTTCTTCGCTTGTTGTTGTGGAAGACATCTTGCTTTCTTAAATACAAGAGCCTATAATGAGAAAAACTCGATCCTATACATACATAATTTAGGGCATATACATACCTTATTTTGCATTATTTTCTCTGGAAAGTTTTTTGCAGAAAGTTAACTGAACTTCCACATACTCCTACATGCTTTATATCTTGTTAGGAAAAAGATAAGGAGATAAGAATAGTAATTAGCATTGTCATATGATACCAAGAGTTCTTTGAAAGCACATGCAAATAGAATTCTCATACCTTTTCACATGTAGATCTACTGGAAAGATACATAGTTGGTCTTACGCCTGGTGATTTCAAAATTGTGAGTCCCTTAGCCTTTCATAACATATGCTTTTGTTAGCACTATTTACTTATAGGAAAAGTCCTGTATTGCAACTAGACACTCTTTCACATTTTTTTCATGTTTGTTCAGGAAAAAATATAGATACTGGTTAGTATGTTTTCTTTTTTTGAATATATATGCAAAAATTAATATATCGCACAGACCTATTATGTGATCAGCCTATTTCTTATTGCACAATACGTAACCTAGCAAAAAATCTTCTTTCAAACGAAATGATCACCGCTCCGGTTGATGATCAATATTCTGAACACAAAATTGAATATATGCTAACCAGAGATAAATACAATCATGATAAGAAATACAAATAATAATTCTGATCAAGTCGATGATGAGCTATATGAAGAGCTTTTATATAAATTGCTTTTATGTAAGAAGGAAGATATAATAGCTATTCAGGAAAACTCAGTATAGTCCCTCTGAAATCTATTAATAACAATACAAATCAAACAGCATTGAATGAAAGCAAAGGAAAATACTTAAAGATTCATTACAGCTATTCTTTAATTTGGTGAAGGAATTAGTACAGATAATGGAGGGTTTGATATGCCTATCCTCTCTATCCTTTTTATATTACATCGAAATATACAAAATCTCGTTGAAGTAACATATGAGGGGAAAAGTATGTCACTTGGAAAAATTTATCATTTGCTTTTATATTTGGAATGAGATATAAGCTTAATTCACAATGATTTTGGTGTCAGTTATACTAATCCAAAAATAAGTAGATTAGAAGCTGAGAAAAATGCAAGAGCATATCTTCAAAAGTTTAGACGGTTCCTTAGGAGATGTTTCAAGTGTGGTAATACAGAAGTTCATTAATAGGAAGTAAAAATGTTTTATCGGAGAGGGCTTCTGTTAATTCTGAAGGTCTAGAACAAGTTGGCTAATCTATATTTTTTTTGTCAGATAGGAGGCTTAGCAAAAAAATCTTCTGAGCTAAAGATCACTGCTTCAGATTAGTAAGATTATTCCATTTGATCGGCTAGCATTCTATCGAAGTATTAAGTTATGTTATTAAATTGACTTCGAATTCTCATCATTCTGACCTTTTCTTGATACCTATAGTAGCTAGTTATATAAGGGTCAAGTTGATTAGTAACATCGAGCTTTCATAAATTTAGACATAAATTTATAATGCATCTTATAGATTCTTCTTTAATCCGATATGCTTCAGCAAAATAAAACTCTTGCAAATCATGACAATTTCGTGCAATTTCAAACAGAGATTTATCAGTAACATCTCTGCAGTAAGATATATCTAAATATTCTAATTTACAACACAATTGCATGATTTCACATAAACTTTTATCAGTTATTACTTAGGTGTTTCACAGATTGAGATATCTTAAATTAGGGTATGATTCTGCTATCAGATTAAGTGTGATATCACTAAAACCTGTACTACTCTCAAAATTTAAACAAATTATATTTGGGCATAAACCTATAATGCTCTTGATTTTTTCATTCCTAAGTGAATGGTAATATGTAATTCCAAAATAAGTTAAACTTGAACAATAAACTGGTTTTTGCTCCCCACATACTAATTTTATAAAATTTTTCAGTCGAGAGCAATTCTTTGCACAGTAATTATAATTATCTGGAAAAGGTTGCTCAGGATATAAGTTATTCCTATTTAGCTTGACATGTTTCCATAGAATAGGAGTACCGCGCTTGTACTAAAGCTGGCAAACAAATAGAGTGAGATAGATGGATTTATCTACCAATAAGAAATTAAAAATATGTTCTAGTAATTCCTGTATATTAAAAACACTTATATGTGTCATGCGAAATACCTCTGGCTAAATAATACTTATTATATTTTATATCTTCAAATAAAAGATCTTCCAAGCTGATATCACTGCCTAGGTTAATGATCAGTATTTCAGATCAAATTACACCTTCCCATTCTTCTCAGTTTATCATTAACATATTCATGTATGGTCTTAATATCACTTAGTGTATCAACTGTAATTTTCAGTTTTCTCGTCAGATGATACATTCTGGGATATGCACCAAAGGAGGCTGGTGTTATAGTACACACAAAATTCTCAACATGAATATTTGGATTAGGTGAAATGAGCTGACTTATGGCTTCTTTGCTAACATTATCACACCCTTCCAATTTGAGATACTTTAAATTAAGACACGAATTAGCAATTTCTTTGATAATCTCATTAGTAAATTTGCAATAGCTAAATTCAAAATGTTGAAGCCTTGGGCAAGAATGGATAATATCACAAATCGATATCCCAATAATCTTTGTGTGATAAGAAATATTTAGATATTCTAGTTTATGATATGACCGTGCAATTGCACATAGACCTTTATCAGTCACTTTCCTATCATTAAGACTTTTGTACTTACTCTTTTACAAATTGAGATACTTCAGATTGGGGTATGATTCTGCTATTCGATTTAGTGTTTTATCGCCAAATCCTATGCTAAAATTTAAATCTAAATGGACTATATTTGAGAATAAACGTACAATACCATTGAATTTTTTATCTAAAAGTGGATGGTAGTTTGAAATTTCTAGATAAGTTAGATTTGAGCTATAAACCAGTTTTTGTCTTTTTCATACTATTTTCATAAATTTCTTCAATGGAGAGTAACATTTATTTTCCTACTTTAGCTCAACACGCTTCCATAAAATAGGAGCACTGCACCTATATCACAATCGGGAAACAAATAGAGTGGGATATAGTGACTTATCTATCGCTAGGAAATATAGAATCCGCTCTAATAGTTTCAGTAAATTTATAACACCCAAATGCGCTATAAAAAATATATGCTGTATCTTTAAACAAAAAATAGTCATCAAAGGCACTTCGTAAAATTACGCATATTGATGATCATTATTTCAGATAATCGTTATTCTGCATGGTTTCATATTTTACTTCTTTGATTAGGATCGTAAAATATTATCTAATAATAATTTTGAATCGCATATATCCAAAATTGTATTACTTTCTCAGAACTAAGGACCTCCCAAGATTAAATCAGGTCCTGGCTTTACTGTTTTAGACTAAGATTCCTTTTTAGGTTTCACCTTCTTATACTATATCTTCATCCTTCTTTTTTGGACCGATAGACGCTTTGTATGACGCATAATCTGTATCAGATTCTTCAGATGAATCAGTTTTGGAAGAACTGGTCTCAGATGAACTATTTATGGTTTTTTTGTTACAATTACAATGCCTCATATCAAATAGTTCCCCTATATCATCCGTTAGCCAGTTCAGATATTCTTCTACATATTTTTCGAGTCAATTAACTTTCTTTTTAAGCTTTTTATATTAAGAATAATAATCATCCAAACTTTTCACTAACACCCTATTTTCACTAGAAAGCGCGCTATCGGTTGAATGCTTTTGTTTGGTTACCATTTTTGCGATATTTTATATATGATATATCTCGCCTCAAATGAAAAAAATAAATTTAATAAATGATATCCCATTCATATAATCAGTTTGGTCCCTTAAGGATTGTTTTCATCAAAGAGCTTGAATACCTTTGCCTGATCAGACAGACATATACAAATCATTATCAGAGTCAATCCACTTTTTCTTTTATCTTTACCTGGTTCTTCTGGGATGCTTTCAAACAATTGCAAGAAGGTGAGTCATTCATTACGCCATAATTTTCTACTGATTCATGATGACCTACTACTTATCTGCAAGCCAACTTTTGTAAATATTAACGATGAGAATCGTTCCTACTTCCATGGATCCTGCTAGCATGATCTGCACCTATCTTTCTCAATTTACTCAAAGTAATCCCATGTTGAGCTAAAGCAAGATTAATTGGATTTACATTAACTATACCGCTTTTGTTTTTTCATAAGAAGGGAAATTTTTCTGGTATTGCTTTTTGAATCTAAGTAAGCAAATTTTTTGCTCATAGCGGATTTTTTTCCAGTGAAATGAAAGGCTGAGGTTCCCCTACTCCTGTTTCTTCTTTGACTTTAGAGTAGCCAGTACAATACTAGGAATATTTAGGATTATATTAGGTCTTTTTAGGACCCCAAGTCTCATCTAATGCTTAATAATTATCAATATAAAGACCGGTGACATCTGCTGGTCGCATGCATAATATTATCATTACATTAACCAGATTTTTCTTAGAAGGAGACAAGGAAATATTACATTTATTGAGTCTTTCTTGAACCAGTTATAAGAAGAAGTGTTCAGGCCAGTCAACACCTTCAAATTTATCAAGTACAAGTCGATATGCTTGAATTTTATTATATTCAGTAGTAATATGAGGAATTTTGGTCGCTTTTTTTTAAAATGATCAGCTCTAAGATCCTGTAACTTTTTTCGCAATAAAGTAAGCTGGGAATTTTCTACGACTGGATTAGGTGTGGAACTACCCAAATTGTATGAAATTTGTTTTATTTTCTCAGACGAATAATCATTATTCACAATTTCTTGGGCAATTTTATCAACAGTATCCCTACCTTCTTCACGCTTTCCAGTAGGTTGAATAGGAATGTGAACTTCTACTTGTTCTTTAGTAAGCCCTAATTATCGAAAATATATTTTGGCATTGGATCTTACCTTGTGATCATCCTTTAAACTTTTGTTAATTTCCTCTGTGTATTTAGCTAGTTCAGATGATAGAGTTTCAAAGGTTCATTTATGGCATTTCATGAAATCTATAGCTACTTTTGCCATATTGTTTTTAAGACACTATAGTTAAGAATATTAAAAAGTACTAATTTTATATTATGTACCCCTATAAGAAATCGAAATAAGGAAATGATACGTTTTTTATAAGGTTTGTATACGTAATTAATGATTCTATATCAA